CCACTTTATCCCAAATGAAATCCAAAAGATCAGAATTGTAGTCAATCCAGTGGAACAAAGGCTAGCTATTCAGCAGTTTTTACTGTCTATACTCTTAAAGAGCAATCTCTCCTGCCATTTCACTGAAAGGTCCAAGAATGTGGAATAGCCTGAGAAAAAATGCTGCCTAACAATAACCATCTTCAAAATAAATGTGACAATTAGTAGTCTGCTAGAGTAGTCTTTTGACAATTAGTAGTCTGCTAGAGATGATTATTATCGTGGAAATTGCTAAATCCATTGAGTCATTTAATCTACCAAAGAACTAAAGCCAAATAACAATCATGTCAATGTTTATCATTGTTTTCACAATAATGCACTAAATCTTCATGTGTCTAGAAACAATAGTTCTTCCCTTGTCCTATTCTCAAATTCTGTAAAAATTGTCATTTTGCTCACCTTTATCACAAAAGACACTCCCATCCCTTTAGGTTTTTCTAAAAATATCAAAATATTCTTTAATCTTCTAGTACAGTTATTATGCATCACCTTGCACCTTATAAAACCTGTACATTATTAGTTTTGTGTACATATGTATACAGTGGAACCTCGGTTTTCATATGCTCTAGTTTTCATACGATTCAGTTTTTGACAACTTTTTTCATCAAAATTTTCTCCCAGTTTTCGTACGGTCGAAAATGGTCCGTACTAAACTCGTCCGCTTGCCCGCATGACTCTGCCACTCAGTTCCCGGAATCAAGCGCCCACACAAAGCATCCCATGCATTAGTGACTCGGGAAGAGATAGGGGAGAATGTGCCTTCTTTGGTGATTAAGGACAAGTGGAATGAGTTGCAAAGTTTTGTGGAGAAATATCACCCTAACAAAGTTGTTGCAAGCTGTGTCTGCAACATGTTCAGTGACAGTGGAGTGTCCCATTTTAGGCAAATCTTAGAGAAGCCAGAAACAGATTTTTCTGGACAGATTTTTTGTGTGACAGAGGTCCAGTGACTCTCAAGCTGGTCCTAGTGCCAGTAAAAGACAAAGAAGGAAAGTAACCCCAGATAGGGCTTGATACCTGAATTCCTTATGGACGGGGATACCCTTCCAAACAAAAACCTCTCCTCCTCGCTGTCTTCCATACGCCAACAAGAATCTTCAATAAAGGTAAAAGTGATGTTAAATATTCATTTATCCATTTCATTAAGTCATTTATATTTATTTTTCATTGTTTTCTGTATGTAAAACTATAGTTATTCTCTATAAAATGTATTTTTTGTTAATATTTTTGGGTGTCTGGAATGGATTCATCGGATTTATATTATTTCTCATGGAAAATGTTGCTCCAGTTTTTGTATGATTCGGTTTTCGTCAGACTTTTTCGAACGGATTAATCACGAAAACCGAGGTTCCACTGTATATTCAATAAGAATTTACTTTAATCCTTATTTAGATACTAGAATATACTGCGAGTTAGTTTATAGCCTTGATGGCCCCCGTGCAGTTAGGACTTAAAACATGTCAAATTAATTTAGGTTTGCCAAATTGTAATTCTCAAAATAATTACAAAATTTAGTAATACTATATGGACTGGTAATAAGCATTTATTTATAAATAAAAAAAAACTTCAGTCATCTGGACCTTATTTAGGTTAATGTTTATATATAACATATAATTTTATTAGTTTTGATAATGGATACAAGATATTTATAATCAATAAATCAGCATTTTGTCTTCAGCTGTGATAATGAACTAGTAATTATGTAAGATCATGAAACTTTCTATTTTGTGTTCTAATTTCATCATCATCTAAAGGTTTAGACAAAGAAAGATATGTTCGTGTAAGCAAAGAATCTTGGATTATAAACTTTCAACCTAACAAAATTTAGTACAAAGAATATGGACTTTGTATACCAAATTTTGTAAGGTTGAAAGTGTATAATTGAAGATTTTTGTTCATATGACATGTCTTTATTGGTTTTAAAATATTGAATGATGAAATTAAAGCACAGACTAGAAGGCTTACGATTACAATACAGCCTCTCCTCACTTACCCACGTCGTTAAACGAATTCGTCGCTAAGTGAGGAGCATACTATAATGGTAGTGGGTTTGTGTTAGCCATCTTTGATATTATTTTAATGTCACCTTTGCACCATTTATACCATTTTTGGTATTTTAAAAGTTTATACAGTAGTGTACTGTATATTGAAATAAACAGAATAGAGGAAATCACCTCTAATATACATTAGGTATTATGAGACCTTTAGTCGATCGTGTAACAGTAGTCGCTAGGAGGAGGCGTTGTAATATTTGATGTCCTCGAGTTCCGATTGTGGTTAAATAACCTTTCTCCGCTTGAGATCTGAGGCTAGTTAATTAACTGAATGCTTTCTTCATCCAGATTCCCCCCAAGGGAGTCCTTAATGCCCAGGTGATTAGTCGCTTCCCTTGGATGAATAATAATAATATCCCGTCTCTTGAATTGAACCTGATTGCTTTCCATTTCTCCAGGTCCTGTTTGAGTAATACAGGTTTAATGCTTCCCCCTAAATATATTTATAACAGCTGTAACTGAATTTCTCATTTATTGATATACTGTAATTTTATATTGGTTAATTTTTGTTCCCAGTCAAAATACTTTTCCTGGACCATAACTGAATTTTTATATTATTATTATAATCGAAAAGCTCTAAACCTACCAGGGTCATACAGTGCTGTGAAGTTTTATAATACAAGTACACAGTACAGCATTTGGAAAAGCTTGATTTATCTTTTGATTTTATAACTTTAGCTCTTCATTAGTTGAGGGACTGTCTGTACTTGAGAGGTAGCTTGATTGCAGCCTTTGCTGATATTTTATCACTTGGCTAATATGAAGAATACAGGTCACAATAACATGGCTGAAACATATCATAAAATACCCACACTTGTGCAACAAAAGTTATGATGTTTTGGTCTGTCTTGGACCACTGTCAAGTCACAACTGAGCAAAGAAAACCAGAGAGGGAGAAGGTGATAGTAGAAATAGCACCAACCGTGATAACAGTAAAAGTTCCAGTAGTAGTAGTAATGATGGTAGTACTAGATGTAGAAATAGTAATACTGTAATTTAGCAGTAGTAAAACAATTAGTAATAATGGTACTAATTTTTTTTTTCAACAAACCAGCCGTATCCCACCAAGGCAGGGTGGCCCAAAAAGAAAAATGAAAGTTTTTCTTTTTAAATTTAGTAATTTATACAGGAGAAGTGGTTACTAGGCACTTGCTCCCGGCATTTTAGTCGCCTCTTACAACACGCATGGCTTACGGAGGAAGAATTCTGTTCCACTTCCCCATGGTATTAGAACATAAAAGAACAGAGGAGTACTACAGCAGGATTAATAATGTAAGGTAAAAGGACACAAGTGCAACTAATGTGACATTTTTATTGTGGCACCGTTTTGCTCTCCAGGAGTGAAACGGTGCCACAATAAAAATGTCACATTAGTTGCACTTGTGTCCTTGTACTTTACATATTGTTGGTAATTCTACCAACATTATTACTGGATTAATAATAGAATAATGAAGGTAAATTGCATTCTAAGGTAGTAAATATCAAAATAACTCGAGACTAACCCATGTCCCTAAGGGGTAGAGGAACTTTGCCAGTAGGTCCACTTGCCCATAGTAGGAAAAAGTTAAATACAAAAGACAGGTCAAGAGGAAAGGTGAGGCAGCAAAGATCATGTCAGGTCATGCATGTTTTGAAGATTTGAGCATCTGTCAGTGTACTGAAAAAGGCAAGAATGTCTAGAAATAAAACCAGGACTATGAGTCACGCTACCAATGTTGTGTATAAGAACTGATTCAACAAGACATTTTGTGAAGGCTAGAGGAGCAGCTAGATTTAGCAGAGGACCAGTTTTTAGGAAGGCTGTAATCTCTAACATGACAGAAAAGTCTTTGTTAGCAAGTTGACACTTTCTGTTGTGTTAAAGTCAAAAAGAGAGCAACCAGTTTCACCAAAGTATTGAAGACAAGACTAGAAGGGAATGAAGTAGATGCCTTAAGGAATCAGTGGCAGGAGAAGTATGCACTAGAATATGATGAATGGTGAAATGCAAGTGTGTTATTATAGAATGAAAAATGTTCAGATTTTGTACATTGGAACAGGTGCTGTATAATCCTACGAGTTTAGCGCTTCCCCTTAATTATAATAATAATGTACATTGGAAATATAGGGAAGGCAAAGTACAGAAGTGTATTTATGAGGGGAGAAAGTCTGCTTAGCAAGGGCAGTCAAGGAAAAAGAGTAGAAATTTTAGTCGAGAAATTGAGAATTACAGGTATGAGGGGGCACAAATTCAATTCAATTTTATTCTCTATAAGGGTTACAATGTGCATCTGTGATCCTCAATTTCTCAACTTTGCAGCTCTTTCACTTTGGCTATCCTTTCAATATCATAAACTCTGCCTTCTCCCATGCAAAGGGAACCTACTCTCTGAAATTAATTCTCCTGCATACATTCCTGTACTTTGCCTTCCTATATTTTCAATCTGCAAAATCTCAACACTGTTCTCTAGATATCAAACTTGCATTTCACCAAACTAAAATAGTAAGTGGTAATTTAATTCTTACTTCATCTCCTGTCACTGATGCTTCCGATGTCCCTTTCATTCTCCTCTTGCCCTCTTCAGTACCTCAGTATAACTGATCGTTCTCTGGCATAAACCAAGTGTTTGGTGACACAGTACTCTTTTTCTGTCATGTTAGAGATCATATTATTATTATTATAATCAAAAAGAAGCGCTAAGCCACAAGGGCTATACAGCGCTGTTAGAGATCATAGCCAACTTATAAACTGGTTGTCTACTAAAACCATCTACCATTCTAGCCTTCATAGGCGTTATCTTGTCGAATCAGTCCTAACAGACATTCCTAACGTGAATCTTTGTCTGTAGACATTCCTGCATTTCTCAATACATTGTCAAGTGCTCTAATCAGAACATTCATGACTTTTGCCTTTCCTCTTGATCTGTCTTCTGTATTTCCTGCTTTCATTTTCTTTCCTACCATAAACCAGTAGACCTACTGCAGTGCTCTTGTCTCTTAGGGACTCTGATCTTCACCTTGATGTAATTTTTCCCTTCATTACTTTACTACTAGTCCTACTATTTTCCCCTAATTACTATCCGACCTGTCCTCTGGTTTTCTTTTTTTTTTCTCTCTCTCTCCCATTTGCAACAATGGTCCAGGGTGGACTGAAATGCCACTTTAACTTTTCTTTTCATAAGTCTGGGTATTTTGTGACTTGTTAATGTTTCGTTTCACAGGCTTAATAGCAATATACTTTATTCTCATTGTCCTAATTCTTATACGTAATACTGGTAAGTACTGTTCAAATTAAATCTTAACTTGTGGCTTGTAATCCTTGCATGAAAGGTGCATTTTTGTAATTTTTATAACATGGCCTACCTAACCTAAATGTTTACAATTACATGTAACCCTCCCCTCAAGAGAGATTCATTAATACTAATGAGGGGCTCTTGATACTAGGAATTAAATCTCTCCTTCCCTTTCTTGGCTCAAGTCTAATTGCTTTCCATTCCCCTCAGGTGGTGTACAACTACCAAAATCTAATAACATGAAAATACACCCTTAATGTAAGTTTTTGAAGTTATAAGTTAAATTTCACATTGTTGAACATCAGATACATACTAATATTATATATAAAAAATGTGGAGCAACACACAGGCTGCACAACAAGATATACAGTCTCATTTGCATTGATATGCATAACCTACTGACTTGAGTCCTAAAAAGAGAGAACATTAAACTGGAAAATATAAAGTATATTTAAAAACTGCAAGCTAATTATCCTGAACTACAGTAAATATTTCACATATTAACAAATTAATCAGTGTACTGTATATCTAAATGATGTGAATGAAGACATGAAAATATATTTAAAAATAAAATTCATAACTTCAAAAATAGACTTGTCGATATATTGTGGCCATTTACATAATTATATGCACATTAAAGTCAATCATGGAGTATAACGTATATCATAACATTATAGAATTCTCAATATCATTAACCCTTAAACTGTCCAAACATAGATTTACGTTTTTTTTTTTTTACATTCTTTCTTATGGAGAAAATCAAGGGCGGAGCGCTGTGCACGCAAACATAGATCTACGTTTGGACAGTTAGAGGGTTAAAACCATAAAAAATAATCACATGATACATTTTCACAAACATGTGATTAGGTCAGATTTTAGCCTTGCTTTTCTTAAATTATCTGACATCAAGGCCCATACTCTAACACACTCAGGTTAAGCAACATGCTACAAAACTGTTGACTGCTGCACTCATAACATTTAAGTGCTTGCTGAAATTTTTTACCTTTTTTTTTCATTAAAAATACATACATTTTGTAAAGCTAAAAATTCAGCAAGCAACAATTTTTTTTTCCTATGTAAGTGCAGTGGTTAACTGTAATGTTACACTTCAAAAACAAAACTCAACTTAAGTGTGTTTACAATGAATTTGGCCTGATACAAGAGCTACAAAAAGCACACATTGCTGATATATGCAAGATAAATCAGGAAGATATACAGATTATAATACACAAGTGCCAATAATATTCTGTCAGCTGTACACTACACAGGAACATACACAATTTCCAAATACAGCAAATAGTTTCCACCAATCCTCCTTTCTCACTGCTATATAAAGCTACAGTACTGGGAAGGAGAAATGACATGTTGCACCATCTCCTAAAGCAAGAGGCCATTACATGAAATACTGACACCAAATACACATCCATTCTTTCTCTATATAACGGCTGACTAAAATAAATCATAAGGGAAAGATATTCAACTTAGATTGTCATGTACTCAAGACAAGACACTATTTGAAGCAAGTGTGGAGGGATAAGAGGCTCAGGTGTCCTGGGCTAATACCTGATTGGTTTTATACACATGTAATGAAATTCATTACAGTAGTTTCTTCAGTCCAGTATAATTTTTCAAGATACTGGAGACACTATTTTGCAACAATCACTGTCTATTAGCAGTATATTTGTTTAATGTGCATATCACCCATTTCTTCTATCTGGCAACTATTCATTTCTATTACTACGCCAAAATGATCACTGCAGCTATCACTATCTACGATTGGCACCATTTGAATATACTTATGCTCCCAGATTAGGTCATGCCAAAGTTGAATGCTGCAGCTGTACTAGATGCTTATATGCCTCGTGGAATGTGGGTCGCAGCTGGGGATCCAAATTCCAAGACTGAAAGACAATTTGCAGTTAAAATCATGATAAGAATACTTCAAATTTAAATAATGGAAACAAAACTGACCAGTAAGTAAAATTTATAAAAATCAAGTCTCACTCACTAGAGGAAAATAATGGAAAAATTGCCTATTGTAAGAAATGGGACAGGAATTAAAAGGGCTCTTTTAAATGATCATTTAATATCTATTCAAAATAACCCCCATATATTTAAGGTATATCCTACCCAATGAGAAACTGTGTCCAATAATTAGTAATTACTGTTGAATAAAACTTCATTTGGTTTTTCAGTCCGTACATCTGACATCATCTAAAGATGAATGTACCAAATCTGAGGCAATTTAAATATGAAGCTTCTTGTGCATCATTACATATTCTTTAGTGTGTATTCCAATTTTTATAAATTATATTAACATAAAAATTATACTGACCAAGTCAGGGCAATAACCTACATAAAATTTGGTGGTAAATTTAAAGTCTACTTTACTCTTTCAGGGTGGGTCCCATAGTACTATGGCTTCGAAGCTCACAACTTATCTGAATGAACTCAACTCGCTCAAATAAGCTGTGAGCAGTAAGTTTGGGCCTAGATATAAGAGAATGGGTCTATGCAGTGTGTGCACCATATGAAAAAAATCCTGCAGCTCATAATGGGAAAAAAACTGCAACTGTGTTATTGGTTTAAAACAGTGACTTTATGGTGTATTTTCTTATGGTTGTATTCTTAGTTTGACCTTATTTGATAGAACAGAAGATATATTACAGAAATAGAGATGATTCTGATGGTTTCAAGAATGAAAGTATCAATCAATCAATCAATCAATCAATTAATTTTAATTTCTTTGCAAGATTACATTGAGATTATGAAATTACAAAAATGAGTTGCAGTGCAAAGAGAGTCATCATCATGCCTAGGCATTATGGACAGACTTAATTTAATGGCTTACAGACTACATAATACTAAAGAAATTGTACATAGTTTAAGTTGTACATCTTGTTTATTTATAGTACACAGTGCAGCGCTGTATAGCCCTTGTGGCTTAGCGCTTCTTTTTGATTATAATAATAATATAGTACACAGTAATTTTACTCAAATTACAATAGTTTCAATAATAAATATTGAAATTATATTATGGGAATATAACATTGTGAGTTGTTGAAAGTAGTTTACAGTATGAGAATGCTACAACTGGGTAGGTATTTATACTACAAGGTAGTTTTAATCAATGTATGAACTCTGGGCATCACGTTTTGAAGTTTTAAGATTTAGGTAACTGGGAGATTTTTTGGTAAAGTTAAATATTGAGTACAGTGGAACCTCGGGTTACAAATTTAATCCGTTCCGTGGACCTGTTCGTATGCTGGGTCAATTTTCCTCATTTAAATTAATTGAAATGCAATTAATTTGTTCCAGCTGAATTCGTGCTCTTGGGAGGCATGACAAAATAACCCTAATATCAACTCTATGGCTTATTTATTTTTCACAATTCATCTAATATGACATAATAAACAATATAAATAACATAAAAACTTGATACACACTCTAGAATGAATAAAATATGTCATTACATGGACGGCGGAGGGAGGAGGATTGTGGTCGGGAGTAGTTGCGCATTCTCGCTATGAAAACGTAGTTTGTGAGGCTAACTGGAGAAGAAATGCAGAGTGGCATATCCTGTCAGGAGTTCACACTTTTCTTAAGAACTGCCCCTCAAGGAAGGCTCCTTGATGATGGTGAGGGGCTCTTGATTTAGGGAATTGGATCTGTGCTCCAGTTCCCCAAATTAAGCCTGAATACCTTTTCCCCCACTAGGTGCTGTATAATCCTATGGGTTTAGTGCTTCCCCCTTGATTATTATAATAATAATAATCTTAAGAACTGTTATGTACAATTTTTGTTTATCTCACTACACTACATATCTCCTGTGAGCTGTTTCTCCGTCAACCATGTCAACAGCAGCTTTTCCATCTTTTCACTGACAAAGGTCCACTGCTTAGAAATTACTGTAACACCCTTTGCTGACACTATAGCCTTTATAGACTCCTTCTGCTCTAGTATTGTACATATAGTAGAGGGGCTATGCTTGTACTCAACTCGCTAAGTCCTCAACCCTCGTACCTAGTCTGTGCTCATTAATCATTTCTTGCTTTAATTCCATGCAAACCATCCTCTTTTTCTTCTCGGCACTGTCCACTGCACTTGCTTTCTTAGGACCCATGGTCAGAAGAAATCTGGCGAATTAACTGCACAAAACGTAAGGAAATCACGAGAATTCCTTGCACCACGAGGGTAACTCCATAAGCACATGTGCACTGGTGACCATTGTTTTCACTGACACTGCTGTCTGGTGGTGGTATTGTCAAACTAAATTATAAGCAGTACGTACATACATGTACTATTATTATTATAATTATTATTGAATGTATTATTATATTATTTTATTATTATTACATACTATTATATTATTATTATATTATACATGATTATTATTATGTATTATCATTATTATTAGTAAGTATTATAATAATAATAATTACTATTATTATTATTAATTTAGGGACCTCGAGCACAGATCAAATTCCCTAGATCAAGAGCCCCTCACCACATACATACGTACTACTACTACTACTACTATTACTAATAATAACAGAAAGGAGAAACTTCAAAAGGTTGCCAGTAGTTGGTGCCACCATCAGCAAAATACTGGTAACTACTACTAGTACACTTTGCACCTGTCTAGACTTAAGTAGTCTTAAGTAGGCATTTCTGCCCAAAATGCCTCAGCATGATAGCGGCTTTCTTTGCTCCAGTCATATTATATGTAAACACACATTGTAACCTTTGCAAAGAAATATATATTTTATTTATTTATTCACTTAAGGAACCTCCCCTGAAGGGGAAGTTCGCATCCTGAAATTTCTTTCGTATCCTGAAGCAAAAAATTGACTGAATGACAGTTCGTATCCTGAAAAATTTGCATGGTGGGGCGTTTGTAACCCGAGGTTCCACTGTATTTAGTTTAGGGTGAATAAGTGGTTTTTGAGAAGAGTCTTAAATTGATGTTCAGACCGGGTTACTTTAGTATTTACTGGTAATGAATTCCAAATTTTGGGGCCCTTTATGTGCATAGAGTTTTTACACAATGTGATATGGACACGGGGTACATCAAAAAGAGATCCTTGTCTTGTGCTAGGGTTGTGTGACCTGTTAAGGTTGGTGAGAAGTTTGAGTGTAGTGTTCTATGCATGTAGTAGGCACAAGAGTAAGTATGGATGTTCTTTACGGTGAGCAGTTTTAGACTTCTGAATATTGTTGGAGTATGCTGTTGGGAGTGGGAATTTATCATTCTGACTGCAGCCTTTTGCTGGGTTATTAGTGGCCTTAGGCAATTTAGTGTTGTTGATCCCCATGCACAAAGCTTTTATGTGAGATAAGGGTAGATGAGTGAATGACACAGTGCAAGGAGAGCTGATTGCAGAACATAGTACCATATCTTTGATAGTATGCCTACTGTCTTAGAGATTTTCTTGGAAATTTGTTGTATATGTGTCTGGAATTTGAGGCTACTGTCAAGGTGGATTCCTAGGAATTTTCCCTCTGTAAGTCTTGTGATGGGTAATCTGTTTAGCATTATGTTAAGTGGAACATTTGCAGCTCTGTTTCCAAACTGAATGAAATAGGTTTTGTCAGTATTGAGGGTAAACTTATTAGTCATCATCCAGGTGGATATTTTCTGCAATTCGGCATTAACAGTGTTGGCCAGTATGACTGGGTTTGGGTGAAATCACTTGAAGTTCGCTTGAGTTCAAAGTAGCAGAAATATTAAATTTTTGCCAATATTCCAGAGCACACAGATTATGTCACTTTTCCAATAGGGATCCAAGAGGCCAGTCTAATACGTGTCCTCAAATGTGCTGACATTATTTTTCAATTATTACAATAATGCAGTAGTCTGCAAGACAGTAAATCTTCTATTTTTTGTTTGAACAAAAGTTTAAAATGGAAAGCAAGCAATGTATAGGAGAGGCCTGAGGACATAACCAATGAACAGAGGAAATGCTTGTTTTAGTGCCAGGAATGTCTACGTTGTTTATTCTGGACCCTATTTTTAAATAGGTAATTTTTTAATTTTTTTGTGGAATTGGATAAATTGCCAATTTCTAATCACTTTATTGGGTAGTTGAAATAGGTAAATAGGAAGTGTCTTATACACAATCGGTGGAAGGAATACTAGTGAAACAGCTAAAGAGTTTGGTTGACTGGAATTGGCAGAAAATAAGGCTCAAAGTGGGTGAATCTGCTGGTGTGTAAATAATGCTGAGACCGCCAAGACTGAGAGAGCATAATTCCAAATTTTGTACTTTTGGTTTCATTACGTTGGGGAAAAAATTCTGTCATTTCATGAGATTTTTTTTTTTTTTAAATTCTTCAACTCTGAGATCAGGGGTATCAACCCTGAAAGGGTTAAGGCTGAAATTATACAATTCATTAAGAACACTATTTTCAGTATAGGCATAGTAGTACTGCATGATCAATATGGTAACCACACTAAGGGAGGTGCCCTGATGCTGGGTAGGCTCTTGATCCAAGTAACTAAACTTGTCTTCTTTCTTGCATCAACCCTGAATGCCTTCCATTTCCCAGGCAGTATATGATCCCTACAGGTTTAGCACTTTCCCCAATTAAAATGAGAATCAGCATTGTAATTATATGTCAAGTGTCATCTCTTTTATCTAAAAATAACCATACACTCATTCTCTCTAATTTTACTCTCAAAAGTGTTTTTAATGGATTTGAGTGAAATTTTGAATTTGGAGTCAGTGATAACCAGTAAGGACATATTTTGGTTGAAGATTGTACAGATAATTAACCCTTTGACTGTCGCAACCCCAAATCCTGAGGTGTTTCCTGGTGTCGCAAAATATTTGAAAAAAAATAATGATTTTTTTCTTGTGAAATGATAGAGAAGCTTTTCCCGATGGTAACGACACCAAAAGTACGAAATTTGATGGAAAACTTACAGAATTACGCTCCTGTGAAGTTAGCAACCTTGGCGATATTTACAAATCGGCGATTTCACCCACTTTGAGCCCTATTTTGGGCTAATTCCATTGTTCCAGTCAACCAAACTCATAACTATTTCTTTAGAACTCCATTTGTTCTATTGATTGAGTACAAGAAACTGCCCATTTACCAATTTCAACTACCCAATACAGTGGTCAGAAATTGGCAATTCGGCCAATTTCACGCAAGTTAAAAAATATGCCAATTTCAAAATAGGGTCCAGAATGAACAATGCAGACATTCCTGGCTCAAAAATAACATTTTCTTTGTTCATCAGTCATATCTCCAGTCCCCTCTGATATTACTCTTGCTTTCTATTTTGAATTTTTATTCAAACAAAAAATAGAAGATTTACTGTTATGCAGACTACTGCAATATTGTAATAATTGTATAAATACAGTGGTCCCTCAATAATCGTCCGGCCTGAAAGTCGTTTATTTCGGAAATAGTCCCGATATTTCGTCTAAACATTGGCTCGCAAATGGTCCGTTAACTCGCTAATCGTCCTTCGTCCAGGACGGGTACTCACGCTCTGAGCCACCTGGGCCTGCCTTCCCAGCCAGTGTGCCATTGTTTACCAGTGAGCGACGGTCCCCTCACATGCTCCTACGAAATATTTCATAATATTCCATTGATTTTAGTACTTGCAAGTGCTAAATAAGCTACCATGGCTCCAAAGAAAGCTTCTAGTGCCAGCCCTTTGGTAAAGAATGTGAGAAACACATAATTTATGAAAAAGTTTGTAGAAAAATACCAAGGTGGTGGTGGTGGTGGTGGTAGAGTGGAAGCAGTTGTGATAGTGGTAGAAGGTAGTAGTGATGGTGGTAACAGTCGTAATAGTGGTAGAAGGTCGTAGAGATGGTGGTAGAGGGTTCCTTCTTTAGTGATTCAGCGATTCTACCAACTTCTGCAATGTTGTTGGAGTTATATAGGGCTACAGAAAACACCGCCGCCTCAGCTGCTGCTTCACCACCATTATGGATGGCTTACACTCAGTGGCCCTTATATACCCAACAACAACACAACACAACACCTCTCATGACATACGTAATGACTTATTTTATTCATTCTAGAGTATATTCCATGTTTCTATGTTATTAATATTGTTTATTATGTCATATTAGTTGAATTGTGATAGATAAATAAGCCATAGAGTTGATATTAGTGTCATATTCTCCAACAATAAACTTGCCATCCCTCCCTCACACAAACAAATCTCCAATAAGAACATAAGAAAGGAGGAACACTGCAGTAGGCCTGCTGGCCCATACTAGGCAGGTCCTTTACAATCCTTCCCACTAAGAACATAACAATGGAAGAACACCGCAGTTCTATTGGCCCATACAAGGCAGGTCCTTATCAAAATGACCTCTACCCAAGAATTTACTCCCGTACCCAATGACACAAATCAAACTCAGCCCCTCCAACTCATATATTTGTCCAATCTCTTCTTAAAGCTACCCAAGGTCCTAGCCTCGATCACCCTACTGGTAAATGTGATGTTAAATAAGAACTTAAGAAAGTAGGAACACTGCAACAGGCATGCTGGCCCATACTAGGCCAGTCCTTCACAAATCCAACCCACTAATAGAACAAATGCTACCCAAGCAATAAGCTCAGGTGTAAGTCCGACTCAAATCCAACCCCTCTCACTCGTGTATTTATCCAACCTAAATTTGAAACTACCCAATGTTTTAGCTTCGATCACCCTACTAGGCAGACCGTTCCACTCATCAACTACCCCTATTACCAATGTTCATTTATACATTTTATTAGTGCTTTACATTTATTTGGCATTTTTTTCTGCATGTAAATCTATATTTATGCTAGGGAAGTGACCCCTGAAGTGACCTAGAGTCCTTATGGAGGGGGATTCCCCTTCCAAACAATAACCTCTCTTTCCTCTCTCCTCCTCCCTGTCTTCCATTCATCAACAACAGCCTTCAATAAAGGTAACTGTCATGTTGAATGTTCATTCTTTTGTGCATGTAAATCTATCTTTTAGGTAAAAAAAAAAAATTGTTGTTGATACTTCTGGGTGTCTGGAACGAATTAATTGGATTTACATTATTTCTTATGGGGAAAATTGATTCGAAAATCGTCTATTTCAATAATAGTCCCACTTCCAGGAACGGATTAAGGACGATAATTGAGGGACCACTGTAATGTCAACCCATTCATGACTGCATATGAGAATGGCTAGTTGGACATTTATTGGACAATGACATCATTTGTTTACTCTTGAACACTGGAAAAAATCAAACATTTCCCCTACTTTGAGCTCCATTTCAAGGTCCTTTTCATAGTAAAACCAATCAAAATCACCTCTATTTCTACAATATGTTTTCCATTCTATCAAATATGACTACGGAAACGAGAATATAACCATAAAAACTATACGAAAATACATCTCAAAGTTAGTGTTTTAACCCGTAAACGGTTCAAACGTATATATACGTTTTTTCAACATTTGAAAGTATGTAAAAAAGTAGATCTTTTTTTTTTTTTACATTTGAAAATATGTAGAAAAACTTTGATCTACTTTTTTTTTGTTATATTTGAAAATATGTAAAAAAAAGGTAGATCTACTTTTGGAGCACTACACATGTGAATGTAGATCTGCTTGGACCGTTTACGGGTTAATCCGACAACAAGACCGGAGATTTTTTTTCTCATTATGCACTGCATGCTGCAGGATTTTTTTTATACAGTGCACACTGACCACACAGACCCATTCTCTCACATGTGCGCCTACCGGCTTTCTCCTGCTTGATTTGAAGCCGGTAGAATTTTTGTGTATATATATGTCAAACACATTGGCTCGTAAAACATATATATACGACCGAAACAGTCAAAGGGTTAAGAAAATCTGAGTTAAGGTGTTTCAAATACTATATAAATAATATCCAAAAATGTGAATTAAGATTCATATTAATTTTTTTTAAGCTATTCTTTACCTAAAATTTACCTATGACCAGTTTTGAGTGCTCTTCAACCAGGCCATTTGTGCTAGTGGCCAATAAAGCCATCACAACCTAGCTAATCTGGCATTTGTCGAAGGAACCTGTTCAACTTCTTGAAATCTCGTATCACTATTCACTATTGTAAGAACATACTTTTTACCTACCTCTTTCATCAATTGATACACCTCGGGTGGACAACAGTCAGGAGCTTCCATGCGGTAACCCTTTTCTACATGCTTCATCACATCTGCCAGTGGCTGCACAATTAATAAGTTACTTGAAAATGGCATTTAATGAAATAAAATGATACATTCCTGACCTAAATAAGCTTGAAAACATTTTTTATTTTTTTTCAGTTTTTGTCATTTATTAGATTCTGTGCCTAGAATAAATTTATAACTAATGATAACAACCCTAAATTATTTAGGTCTTCAAAAAGAAAATATATAATTTATAAAAAAAATATGCCTATATAAAAACTACTTACAATTCGTGGGTAAGGAACCCTGCCAAATGAATAAATTTCCCAAAGAAGAATGCCAAAGGACCACATGTCTGATTTGTTTGAAAATTTCTGAAAAAGAAAAGGTTTAACCACATTACAGAATGAAGGATTGCTTGTTAATATATATCATTCATATATGCTCATGTTTACATTATTAATTGGAGAAATCAATATTGTAAAGTGGTTAAGCTCCTAGTATTTTAGCTGCTTCTTACAACACACATGGCTTACAGAGGAAGGATTCTTCTCCACATCCCCATGGAAAATATTTTTTTCAACATGCTGGGTGTCTCCCACCGAGGCAGGATGACCCGAAAAAGATACTCTTCCACCATCATAAAATACAGTTACTGTGAAAACAAGTGTATAAGGAATATGTACTGGAGATTGATCCTGTGGCCTCTGATGAGAGCCCCTAGTCTGACTACATATAGTCGAGTAGGTAGAGATAAAAAGAGGTGTGTGTGTATGTGTACACACACATACACACACACACACAAAAAAAAGTCTTACACTATGTCTGAGAGCCTCAGGTGCAGTCCATTTAATTGGGAATTTCCCTCCATCCAACTTGAAGTTCATCTCGTGGGCCAGACCAAAGTCACATACCTTGGCTACACCCTCCTCGCTTATAAGAACATTACGAGCAGCCAAGTCACGATGAACTACCTTCTGCGACTCTAAGTATGCCATACCACTACAAGTGTCACTGTCAAAAGGACAAATGATCAATGCACAATATTGCTGCCTGAAAAAAAATTTGAAGATACATATAGTTATAGACAATGTGTTTGATGTGAATACATTTATGCAATTACCAATTTGTTTTTATAAGAGCAGAACTGTGCTTGTGGTATCCTGTATTCAGTTCATAGTTATTATGTTTATCACATTTTCTTATACCCAATCCATGGTGGTATTTCTTCATGCCAATGTCCTTGATCTGCATACTTCCATTATGAGTTTCTGGACTTTCTCGCTTGTCTTGATTTTTGTGTAGCATGAGATTCGTGATACATTGCAATAATAATCTTTTGTCAATGGTTAGCAGATTAGCTAAAAACAAATATGCTTGGATGAGGAGAGAGGTTGAGCTACAATTTGAGAATTACAGCAGCAAAGGCCAAGTCTGAACCAAAACTGCTTCACAGCCATATCAGAAGACAGACAATAAGAGACCAGGTAATCTGAGTGAAGAAAGGTTAACCTGTGGAAAATGACAAGCCTATGAAACTTTGATCAAATTATTTCTCAATGGAAACAGGGACAATATCAGAAAGCCTAGGGAACAGAGTACATCAACAGGTACTGAAGAACAAACTTAATACAAGGGGAGAGGTAATGAAATTTCTGAAGGATCTGGATACAAAAAAGGCAATGGAATCTGAAAGCATCACCATGGATTCTGCACACCAGCCGTCTCTATCTGATCTGTTAGCTAGGATCTACAAGTCAGTGGATATGGGACAGTTGCCAGAGATCTGCAAGACAATGACTTCTTCTTTCAACAAACTGGCCATATCCCACTGAGGCAGGGTGGCCCACAAAGAAAAGTTTCTCTCTTTAACTTTAGTAATGTATACAGGAGAAGGGGGTACTAGGCCCTTGTTCCTGGCATTTTAGTCACTTCTTAAGACACGCATGGCTTATGGAGGAAGAATTCTGTTCCACTTCCCCATGGAGAAGACAATGACTGTAGTTACTAAATTTAAGAAAAGAGACAGAAAACACTGAACAACAGACCAGTTGCTATGACATACCATGCAAGGTAATAGGCTGGAATAACAGGGAAATACTTCACTGGATCAAAGAGTACCTAAGAGCAAGGAAATGATGAGTGATTGTCTGGGAAGGGAGACAGAGGCTGTAGACTTTATTCATAGAGAAACACACTAAGAGTGAGCATAATGCCAAGCATATTGCCCTAGGCTTACATCAACCAAGTAACCTCTGCAGTAAATGCTCGTCTGGCAAATCTACGAGTAGCCTTCAAAGAATCATTCCAGCTCCATTAGCCAACGTATATTAGGCCCATTTGGAGTATGCAGCACCATCAAAATCACCTCACTTGAAAAGGCACGTTAAAACTAGAGAAAATACAGAGGAATGCAATGAGGCTAGTTCTAGAGCTAAGGGGTACAAGCTGGGAGAAGAGGCTTTGTAATTTAATCTAATGAGAACAGAAGAACCAGGGGAGACTTGATAAAAACATACAAAATATCTACACAAATTGACAGAGTAGACAGGGATAAGCAGTTTGAGATGTGGGGGCACAGGGAAGTCAGGAAGTAATTTTTCAGTCTCAGGGTGGTTGGGAATTGGAATGATGTCAATGAAGACATGGTGGAGGCAGGTAGGACAAGCTAGAAGGACAAGCTGCAGGTTGAGAGGTGGGGGCCAGGAGCTAAGACTCGACCCCTGGAACCACATATAGGCAATTACACACACACACACAAAGACTCGGTTTCTTTGTAAGTAATACTGAACGCAAGAATCACTTTTTTTTTTTTTAAACATCGGCCTTTTCCCATCGAGGCAGGGTGTCCCAAAAAGAAAGAAAAACCCAAAAAGAAAGAAAAAACTTTCATCATCATTCAATACTTTAACCATCACTCATACATAATCACTGTCTTTGCAGAGGTGCTCACATACGACAGTTTAGATGTCCCTCCAAACTGCTAATATCCCAAACCTCTCCTTTAAAGTGCAGGCATTGTGCTTCCCATGTCCAGGACTCAAGTCCGGCTAACCAGTTTCCCTGTATCCCTTCACAAAATATTACCCTGCTCACACTTCAGCAGCTCATCAGGTCCCAAAAACCGTATGTCTCCATTCACTCACGCACACTTGCTCAAAGTCTAAGCCCCTTGCCCACAAAACCTCCTTTACCCCCTCTCCAACATTTTTGGGGACGACCCCTACCCTGCCTTCCTTCCCCTACAAATTTATACACTCTCCAAGTCATTCTACTTTGTTCCATTCTCTCTAAATGACCAAACCACCTCAACAGCCCCTCTTCAGCCCTCTGGCTAATACTGTTAGTAACTCCACACCTCCTAATTTCCACACTACGAATTCTCTGCACATTATTTACACCACACATTGCCCTTAGAGATGACATATCCACTGCCTCCAGCTGCCTCCTCACTGCAGCATTTACAACCCATGCTTCACACCCATATAAGTGTGTTGGTACCACTGTACTCTCGTACATTCCCTTCTGTCTCTACAGATAGCTTGACACACCACTCACCTTATTTTCTTCATCAATTCTATTGTTAACCTCATCCTTGATAAACCCATCTGCTGACAAGTCAACTCCAAAATACTATCTGAAAATATTCACTTCCCTCCAATGCGATATCCAATTTTTCTTTATCTAAATCATTTGATACCCTCATCACCTTACTCTTATCCATGTTCACTTTCAACTTTCTACCTTTACACACCCTATATTCATATATTCACTCCTTTTCTTCGCTCTCTTGTTTTAGTGTCTGATGACTTAATTAATTACTTATTTGTACAATTTAAATATTAAAATCTCTACAACAGAAATTTAGATTAGAGCTATAACAGAACAACTGATTTATGACTTACCATGCAAAGTTGATCTGGTCTTGCTTAGTAACGTGTAGTCTTCCTCGTGATCGTAGGTAATCAACAAGGGAACCTTTGCTCATGAACTCTGTTACCAGAAGGATGCAAGAATCTTCAAATACTAAGCCCAAAAGATTCACTAAATTATTGTGTTTTAAACTCCTGTGAATAAAGAAAAGCAGTATTGTTATTAATTCTGGTAATACCAACTTTACAAATGATGGTAACAGTAGACATATAAGATACAGTATAATATTTCCTACTGTAAATAAATAACCATTTTAACTTGCCTAAATACAACCAAACTGCTAAATACTGGGTATGGCAAATAACTTATAGCCACACATAAGCTACAGCGTAATGTTTTTGCAATTGAATTCATGACTGAAGCAACTCTTTACAGGAGGGCCCCGATTATACATTGGGTTAGATTCTAGGCTACCGCTGTAAAGCAAAAATCGCCATAAAGTGAATCACCTTTTGTTTCACTTTTAAATACACATAAAGGCCTGACATGTTTACACTAAAAATTTTGTATATTTAGGTATCATATTAAGTGTGCAATAGAGCTAGGCCTAAAAAAAGAATGATACGAATGTACAGTACACACATTATTTACTTAAAATATATTTTCATCCTTAGCTTATACATAGGGAGTAGTGAATCTGAAACTTCGGAAAATTGCCAGAATACAGAGAGAAAGAGCACACAAATTCTTTAAACAGATTGAATCACTGACAACACACCCTGGCTCATGGCAACTGTTATGCATTAATGTGTAAGATAATTTGCATATAATGTAAGGTATATTGTGGAGATAATGCTCCATAAATGTATATATAATGTCAGCGTTTTGGGTGAACATGTAATAGACGGTCAGATGGAAACGTATTAATGGCCAGTTGGACACGTGTTACAAAAAACGCTATTTCTAATAAGCTTAGAGATCTCCAGTGAATACTAGAAAGGACTGCCCTTCTAGCATCCAGCCTGTTACTGGGTTTTCGTAACAAGTAGTCAGTATCCTGGTCCAATTATCCATTAGAATTCAATAATAATTATTAGTGCTTCAGGATTACAACTGGTAGGCTACTAACTAAAGAAATTAAAATTTAATAAATTTATTAACAATCAAGATGTTTAGGAATATATTATCAAATTAAAATAAAATATTCAATTTAAACAAATTAATAATAATCACTTCTCTCATGTATAGTAGTATTGTGCTGAAGACACATATCACATTTATACGTCTTAAGTACCGTCTGGTACATTAACATTTAATAATATATATATATACAGAGGACCCCCGCATAACGATCACCTCCAAATGCGACCAATTATGTAAGTGTATTTATGTAAGTGCGTTTGTATGTGTATGTTTGGGGGTCTGAAATTGACTAATATACTTCACAATATTCCTTATGGGAAAAAATTCGGTCAGTACTGGCACCTGAACATACTACTGGAATGAAAAAAGTTCGTTAACCGGGGGTCCACTGTATATATATTTATATATATATATATATAATATATATATATAAAATATATATATATATATATATATATATATATAATATATATATATATATATATATATATATATATATATATATATATTTTATTATCATCACACTGGCCGATTCCCACCAAGGCAGGGTGGCCCGAAAAAGAAAAACTTTCACCATCATTCACTCCATCACTGTCTTGCCAAAAGGGGTTGCTTTACACTACAGTTTTAAACTGCAACATTAACACCCCTCCTTCAGAGTGCAGGCACTGTACTTCCCATCTCCAGGACTCAAGTCCGGCCTGCCGGTTTCCCTGAATCCCTTCATAAATGTTACTTTGCTCACACTCCAACAGCACGTCAAGTATTAAAAACCATTTGTCTCCATTCACTCCTATCAAACACGCTCACGCATGCCTGCTGGAAGTCCAAGCCCCTCGCACACAAAACCTCCTTTACCCCCTCCCTCCAACCCTTCCTAGGCCGACCCCTACCCGCCTTCCTTCCACTACAGACTGATACACTCTTGAAGTTATTCTGTTTCGCTCCATTCTCTCCACATGTCCGAACCCCCTCAACAACCCTTCCTCAGCCCACTGGACAACAGTTTTGGTAATCCGCACCTCCTCCTAACTTCCAAACTACGAATTCTCTGCATTATATTCACACCACACATTGCCCTCAGACATGACATCTCCACTGCCTCCAGCCTTCTCCTCGCTGCAACATTCATCACCCACGCTTCACACCCATATAAGAGCGTTGGTAAAACTATACTCTCATACATTCCCCTCTTTGCCTCCAAGGACAAAGTTCTTTGTCTCCACAGACTCCTAAGTGCACCACTCACTCTTTTTCCCTCATCAATTCTATGATTCACCTCATCTTTCATAGACCCACCCGCTGACACGTCCACTCCCAAATATCTGAATACGTTCACCTCCTCCATACTCTCTCCCTCCAATCTGATATTCAATCTTTCATCACCTAATCTTTTTATCCTCATAACCTTCCTGTATTCACCTTTAATTTTCTTCTTTTGCACACCCTACCAAATTCATCCACCAATCTCTGCAGCTTCTCTTCAGAATCTCCCAAGAGCACAGTGTCATCAGCAAAGAGCAACTGTGACAACTCCCACTTTGTGTGTGATTCTTTATCTTTTAACTCCACGCCTCTTGCCAAGACCCTCGCATTTACTTCTCTTACAACCCCATCTATAAATATATTAAACAACCACGGTGACATCACACATCCTTGTCTAAGGCCTACTTTTACTGGGAAAAAATTTCCCTCTTTCCTACATACTCTAACTTGAGCCTCACTATCCTCGTAAAAACTCTTCACTGCTTTCAGTAACCTACCTCCTACACCATACACTTGCAACATCTGCCACATTGCCCCCCTATCCACCCTGTCATATGCCTTTTCCAAATCCATAAATGCCACAAAGACCTCTTTAGCCTTATCTAAATACTGTTCACTTATATGTTTCACTGTAAACACCTGGTCCACACACCCCCTACCTTCCTAAAGCCTCCTTGTTCATCTGCTATCCTATTCTCCGTCTTACTCTTAATTCTTTCAATTATAACCTACCATACACTTTACCAGGTACACTCAACAGACTTATCCCCCTATAATTTTTGCACTCTCTTTTATCCCCTTTGCCTTTATACAAAGGAATTATGCATGCTCTCTGCCAATCCCTAGGTACCTTACCCTCTTCCATACATTTATTAAATAATTGCACCAACCACTCCAAACTATATCCCCACCTGCTTTTAACATTTCTATCTTTATCCCATCAATCCCGGCTGCCTTACCCCCTTTCATTTTACCTACTGCCTCACGAATTTCCCCCCACACTCACAACTGGCTCTTCCTCACTCCTACAAGATGTTATTCCTCCTTGCCCTATACACGAAATCACAGCTTCCCTATCTTCATCAACATTTAACAATTCCTCAAAATATTCCCTCCATCTTCCCAATACCTCTAACTCTCCATTTAATAACTTCCTCTCCTATTTTTAACTGACAAATCCATTTGTTCTCTAGGCTTTCTTAACTTGTTAATCTCACTCCAAAACTTTTTCTTATTTTCAACAAAATTTGTTGATAACATCTCACCCACATTGCTTCACCACTCTCTTAACCTCTCTCTTTTTCTCCATATACTCTTCCCTCCTTGCATCACTTCTACTTTGTAAAAACTTCTCATATGCTAACTTTTTCTCCCTTACTACTCTCTTTACATCTTCATTCCACCAATCACTCCTCTTCCCTCCTGCACCCACTTTCCTGTAACCACAAACTTCTGCTGAACACTCTAACACTACATTTTTAAACCTACCCCATACCTCTTCGACCCCATTGCCTATGCTCTCATTAGCCCATCTATCCTCCAATAGCTGTTTATATCTTACCCTAACTGCCTCCTCTTTTAGTTTATAAACCTTCACCTCTCTCTTCCCTGATGCTTGTATTCTCCTTGTATCCCATCTACCTTTTACTCTCAGTGTAGCTACAACTAGAAAGTGATCTGATATATCTGTGGCCCCTCTATAAACATGTAAAATCCTGAAGTCTACTCAACAGTCTTTTATCTACCAATACATAATCCAACAAACTACTGTCATTTCGCCCTACATCATATCGTGTATACTTATTTATCCTCTTTTCTTAAAATATGTATTACCTATAACTAAACCCCTTTCTATACAAAGTTCAATCAAAGGGCTCCCATTATCATTTACACCTGGCACCCCAAACTTACCTACCACACCCTCTCTAAAAGTTTCTCCTACTTTAGCATTCAGGTCCCCTACCACAATTACTCTCTCACTTGGTTCAAAGGCTCCTATACATTCACTTAACATCTCCCAAAATCTCTCTCTCTCCTCTGCATTCCTCTCTTCTCCAGGTGCATACACGCTTATTATGACCCACTTCTCGCATCCAACCTTTACTTTAATCCACATAATTCTTGAATTTACACATTCATATTCTCTTTTCTCCTTCCATAACTGATCATTTAACATTACTGCTACCCCTTCCTTTGCTCTAACTCTCTCAGATACTCCAGATTTAATCCCATTTATTTCCCCCACTGAAATTCTCCTACCCCCTTTCAGCTTTGTTTCGCTTAGAGCCAGGACATCCAACTTCTTTTCATTCATAACATCAGCAATCATCTGTTTCTTGTCATCCACACTACATCCACGCACATTTAAGCATCCCAATTTTATAAAGTTTTTCTTCTTCTCTTTTTTAGTAAATGTATACAGGAGAAGGGGTTACTAGCCCATTGCTCCCGGCATTTTAGTCGCCTCATACGACACGCATGGCTTACGGAGGAAAGATTCTTTTCCACTTCCCCATGGACAATAGAAGAAATAAAAAAGAACAAGAGCTATTTAGAAAAAGGAGAAAAACCTAGATGTATGTATATATATATATATATAATATATATATATATATATATATATATATATATGCATGTGCGTGTCTGTGAAGTGTGACCAAAGTGTAAGTAGGAGTAGCAAGATATCCCTGTTATCTAGCGTGTTTATATATATATATATTTTATTTATATATATATATATATATATATATATATATATTATATATATATATATATATATATATAT